TTGTCGGGTCCGCCCCACACCGTGATCATGCGGATAAGCACAAAGATTGCAAGGCGCGCGGTAGGGTAGTCGTGTGTGTCGCGAGCGAACGTTTCGATCGAAGAAATTATGGGCTCGAATGTCGCTTGATTTACTGCGGAACATTAGCAGTGTCAAGTCTATATTTGATGTCGTCGACTTACCATTGCTGACGAACACAGACCCAAGACCTTGGTTGAGAACAACGACGATGAAGTTCAGATACTCTCGACGGAGCTCAGCTAGTTGAATCTCGTCATCTGTACCCGAAGGAACTACAGCTAGTGCGGTAAATATGCGTTGCAAGACTGGACTCATGACGGTATCTAGAATGCCAGCGATCTCTGACTTGAAGGTGAAGACGACCTGACCAAGCACTTTGAGGAAGGTACTGATCTCGTCCATGGAAGAACTCAAAGAAAGGAGCCCTTCGATCCAGGATGGCAGCTGTTGTAGCAGACGCGAGCCTAATACGGCAATCATGCGCGAGAAAGCGAATCTTGCAGCGTGTCGAATGGAGCCAGATGAGTTCAGTGATTCAACGGCGACGAGGATAGCTTCAGATGCTTTGACGAACTCATCCGCCACCTCACTCTGGGGCGCGACGCTGTTGTTGTTTGACGGTACCCAGTCTGAGTAGCCTCGAGCTAGCGTACCTATGGCCATGATGATATGGTGGATTTGGAGTATAGCCCGCTCATCACCATTCCTCGCCTGGGGAAGAGTCTGTTGCATGTCTGAGAACAGAGGGCTCATGATGGTCTGCGCGTAGAGTCTCTTGTTCTCCGCGGAGACGGTGTTGGACGAAGCGATGCAGCCCACGGCTTCAAAAAGGTACAGCTGCGAGTCGAACAGCGCATCCGCCGACTGATCCTCTTCATCGGACGACATCTCATCTTCTGAAGTATCTGGTAGCTCAGCTTTGATGGCAAGCAAGTCTCCAACCGCTTGAATGATGTCGTAGGATACGTTGCCCAGTTGGGCCCGCAGATGCTTGACTAAGCGTTGGAAGAGATACCAGGATCGCGAGCGGACCTTGACATGGTTGCTATGGGTAAGGTTGACAAAATTCTCAAGTACCTTGGGGATGAGGCCAGGATTCTGCTCGAAGAACTGATAGTAGCGTACGCATATCTCCATATACTGCAGTTGAACAGCAGGGTGCGGGTAGTTTGCTAGACCAGATTCGACCATGCTGTTCATCATATTCACGAGTTGCTGAGCTGCAGCCGATGAGGGCTCGCGTTTCGCATACAGTCCCTGGTTTCTGACTGCAAGTTCTCCAAATAGATACATCTCATACAGAGCCAATTCGAGGTCGCGCCAGTTCAGGGATTGATCGCCTTGAGATAGGCGTCCAAAGGTTCCGTTGACTAAGCGACTGAGTGTCTCGATGTAGTAAGGCTCGTCGATGGCGGTTACTGTTTGTTGCAGGACGTGGAGGCGTCTGCGGAGATCGAGGAACTCTGCTTCGTCTGTCTGTTCGCCTTCCTCACCCCATGAGGCTGTCTCGTCATACTTCATTTTTGCAATGATCGCATCTAGAACGGGTGGTAATACTGCGGCGTATTGTGGAGGTATCGATCCAGACTTCTTTTGCAATTTGCGGAGGAACGTAAGAAGATCTGTAAGAGATGGGATGACAGTCGAGCAGACCTCGTCGTATTGGTCAGCGAAGAAACGTAAGAGGTAAGGCGTGAAGATGCGAATGAGATCGTCTGCGCGTTGCCGAACATGCTCCTCGACAGCCTCGTTCTCTAGTATCTTTACGATATCGAATACGATGTTGTTCACGAGCTTAGCGACAGTCTCGGCAAGGTCGTTGTCGTAGTTCGAGCTGTTGAAATCGGCCAGAGCTGGGCTGCTGATCAGCTGGCCGACGACTTCGGAAAGATTTAGGAAAGTGATTAATTCAATCTTATCCGATGGGCTCATCTTCTTCCCGACGATCTCTGAGAATGTATCGATTGCCGCATCGCGCACCTTTCCAGCAGCGCTCTCGGGATCAGCGATTCCTTGTTGGCCCGCCATTTCCAGGAAAGTTGTGATCATGGCTTGGTTGACAATCAAGTTGATGTCGGTCCAACTAACCCAGCGCCCGATAGTCTCCAGGCACATCTTCACAAGATTCAGGTCTGTCTCCCTCCACTTCGCGAGTATTTCTTGCCAAGATAACGAGATCTTCTGCGCGTCCCGTTGCCGGATGAGGTCTTTCAGCTCTGTGTTGCGCTTCTTCTCGTCCTCTGGGCGGGCGACCAACTGGTCAGCAATTTCGTCGTGCACTTGACCGAGCATACGAAGGTATAGCAACGTCGTGGCTGTATTGACGTTTCCGATGGTAGACTGGTCGCCAGCCAAGGCACGGAAGTCGTCAAAGAAGGACTGCCATGAGGAAGGGTATAGAGCTACGAAGAGATAAGTGACAGTCTGCATCAGCTTGTTCTGGATATGGCTTGTGTCTGCAGCTCCACTGCCCGGGACGTAGGATCGGTGGATATGGCCCATGAGTGTATCCTTGATGTACGCAAGACTCTGCTCATCGAGGCGATGTTCTTGGATCGCGTTGTTCACAAGGTCGAGCGACGTATGGCGGACAAAGTCGGTGGGACGAGGGTCGCGCGCGAAGAGTGTGAGGGCAGCTTGCCATGCGGAGCCTTCGGCACGGAGCTGGTTCAGGTATTCGATAGCCTGACCGCGCAGCTCCTGGCTCGACGTCGGATTTGCGGCGATCTGGATGGCATTTTCGACCTTTGACATGGAGTGTGAGTATATGCTTCATGGATCGGGCAAACAATGGTACGTACCTGGCCCTCCATTTCCTCGTGTTGTCAAAGCTGAGCAAGCAGGGTTGAGTCACAGGTTGAGTCGGTGTGGTCTGCCCTATAGATTGTACATCGGACGTGGTGGGGTAGGAACTATGAGCGGATTGGTATGCTACCGGACCATGGAGCAAACTGTGGAAGACTGCATCATGAAAGCGTTACAGCGGTGTAGGCAGAGGCGGGGCACGAGGGGCTGACGTACGGCGTGTGCAAGGGTTCGTGCGTGAAAGAAACAATGGCCAGAGCTCAGGGTCTATGTGCCAGGCGATTAGGGTACCGACTGGAAAAAGCAAAAGTTGTTCTCCGTCTTCGTCGAGGCGTCGAGGCCGAAAACAGCTGTGCAATGACTGAAGTGGCAGCGCCAAGCCCGGGCCTGGTGGGATGTTCTCGCGCCCAATTTGACCGTGTGACACGTGCGCACGAGATTTTGGTTTCGACACCGCCACGCGCATTGCTGAAGTTATAATCGTCATTCACGCTGCTTTCAGACAGCAATCAGGTGCCCGTCAAGTATGAGAGTCCCCATATGGAGAGCCAGCAACGCAGTCGTCCCTCTATCATGCTTATACATTTGAAGCCCGCACTCTATGGCGAATTCACGGCGGCAAGAGCTGAGATACAATTCGGTGTTCACGTGCAAAAAGTTGATCAACCCAATAAATCACGAATGAGTAGTCAAGTCTTTCCAGATGTGTACGGATTCTATTAGGTTCTATAGTTTCTCTCTGATACACGAGCCGCTTCTGTAGTAGTGAGCAGACTGCTATTACAATCGGTGTCACGTCTACTTACTATGCGCCTAGATGCTTTGCTGCCCACTCGACGTGATCGTCAGCAAATGTGGCCATGAAGTAGTAGCTGTGATCGTAATCGGGCTGCATGCGCAGTTGAATGCCCTTGTCATTGCCAGCTTCCTTGGCTGCCTTGACGAAGTTCTCCGGTAGAAGCTGGCCTTGCTTGTAGAAGTTGTCTCCAGTGCCCTAGCTCAGTTAGTAAAACGATACAAGACTGTCGCATATGAGACGCACCACATCGATGAGCATCTCAAGAGGACCCTTCCATTGCTTGACCAGCTCTGACGCATCATGCTCCTTCCACTTTTGTTGCTGGTCCTCGCCAAAGTATCCCTTGAAAGCTTTCTGGCCCCATGGGCAGTTGATGGGATTGGCGATGGGTGCGAATGCAGAGACGGACTTGTACATGCCGGGGTTCTTGAGGAACTATCAATGGTGGTCAGTCTAGTCCTCCTGGTATGCAAGCAGCTGACCAACCAGTGTCAATGCCCCGTGTCCACCCATACTGTGCCCTGTGATGCTGACTTTGCTGGAATCTAGCTCTTTGAAAGACGAGAACAGCGCTTCGGGGAGCTCTTTGGTGATGTATGAGTACATGTTGTAGCCCTTTGACCATGGCTCCTTGGTGGCATCGACGTAGAAACCTGCTCCTGACCCGAAGTCGTATGACTCGTCTTCACCTTCGATCTGTAGGCCCCCTAGTGAGTGGGTTAGTCAAATGCTCCGCGTATAGTCTCACGGTAGGCACGCACTCGGTGAAGTATCAGGGTACACGACAGCGATGCCATGTTTGGCTGCGCCGTGCTGGAAAAAGCCCTTCTCTGAGCAGTTGTTGCCGGTGCATGTGAGGCCGGAAAGGTAGAAGAGAACTGGGACCTTGGCGCCGGACTTGAGTGCTTGTGGAGGCAGGAACACGTTCAGCTCCATGTCGGTGTTTGTGCTTGAGGACTTGTGCTTCAACTTGAGAAGCTTGCCGCCGAAGGATGCAATGGTGCCTGTGGTTTCGAAAGACATCTTGGACAATGTGGTATAGCGAGAAAAACGAATAGTAGGAGGTTGGAATGCAAACGCAGTTCTAGGGGCCCTTGGAAGTTTTGTGAGCAGGCGCATTGAGTGACGTTGTGCCTGAAATTAGTGCGGGGGACGAATAGCTATGTCGAGCTACCCCACCTCCCTCTAGACCTTTGGCTTGTTACAGAAATCTTATCCGCGGATCCGCACAGGCAACGGACAAGGCTTGGAATTAACGGAGATCGGGTGAGACTCGGGATATAATTGCGCAACCACTTAGAGACTCCTTTCGCCGAAATACCCCATATTTAGCCAAACAAAACTCCATAGCAAATGCAATCAGCCACACCACGCTTCATGTCAGAAGCTCTTCGCAAGTCCAGTCCTCGTAGAAACCATCGGGGAGGTACCGCCGTACAACAAGGGGAATTTTCTTCTCTTGGAGCTCTTTCGCAGCAATTTGCAGAGGATCCGTCATTCCCTCTACGTCGATCAGCACAGGAGCGTTACCACTGCAATCTCATTAGTCCTTGTACATACACCTTCACTCTCAAGGTATTCTACCTGATCTGAAGTGCTCTTGTGCCCAAGACGCGTGCCTTCTCGTACTTTGTCATGTATGGGGTGGTTGTGCGCTTGTCGTTCGGAACCTTCTTGTCCTTTTCGCTTGTAACTGTGTTCTTGGAGGCTTCCTTGGCAGCAGCTGCCGCGTTGGCATCGCCAGATACTACTACGTTGTCGTCGTTGGGTTCGGCATTGTCTGGGTCTTCACCGCCGCCAGGCTGGTCGTCTTCGTCGTCCATCAGATCAGGTTCGGCCTCTTCGTCGAACTCGATGAGGGGCTCGTCACTACTGAAGTTAGAATCGGCGGGACTGTCTCCTACCGTTCCCCTAGCTGATGCGCCCGGTGGAGGAAACCCAGAGATGGAGCTGAACGTACATGTCACCGGCGCCGCCGTCGTAGTCGTCACCGCCATAGTCGGACATGTTTGCAGCAGGTTTATACGCGCGTGTGTGTCTCTGGAAGGGATGCCGAGAGATGGAGAGGTACGCGTGGAGTATGGGGTGTATGCCTGGTGCGATGCGACTGGCAAAGAAAGTTCGCGATCAGAAATCGCAGGGGTCGGCGTCTGCACTAGCGTGGGAAATCTTGGCGGTCGCAAAATACAGTGGAGCTCGACTTTCGTCCATGGTTCTGCGCATCCACGAGCCGCCTTGCAACCACGCGCACGTTGTATGCAATACTATGGCGCCGAAACGGAGGAACACCGAAGACGCTGGTGTGGCGCAGCAGAAGAGGTCTCGCAACAGTACCGTAACCCCGATCACCGTGACGTCGATCCTGAAGGCTAACATTCTCGGAGGTGTTGCGGAGGACACACCCGACCAGGACTATGCGACAGACGACTCTGCTGATTACAAGGTCAATTTCACCGACAACGGCACTTTGAGGGCAGAGAGCGAGGCCCGTCGCCAGTGGAACTACGTCTGCCCAACCTGCTCGCAACGCTTCAACCGACCATGTCGCCTCGAGACACACATGCGAAGCCACAACAAGGAGCGACCATTTATCTGTACCGAGCCCGGCTGCAACAAGACGTTCCCTCGTAAAGACCACTTACAGCGTCACCTCAAGAACGCCCATAGCGACCCTGCGACCGAGCGGACATTCACATGCGATTGGACCGGGTGTGGCAAGAGTTTCACCTCCAACGGCAGGCTCCAGAGGCACAGAGACGTCCACGAATCCAAATTCTACTGTACCGACTTCCCCCCGTGCAACGAGGCTTTTAGGAAGGCGAAGGCGTTGGAGGCACATGTCAAGATCCAGCACATGGACGTCAAGCCCTTCACTTGTTCTCACGTGAATCAAGAGACCGGCGAGAAATGCGCGAGTGGCTTTCAGACTGAGGGCGCATTACAACGGCATATGGGCAAGACACATGCAGACATACAAGGGCAGGGCCACTTCTGCGTGCTGTGTGCGACGGCTGGAGTAGACGCGGACACAATGCAGAGCGAGTCTGTTGACACATCCACCATCCCGCCACACTTACCGTCTTTCGCGACAAAAGACGAGCTGAACGTGCACACAGCCGAGTGTCACCCACCTGTATGTACACAGTGCGGTCAGAAGTTCAAGACTGCATCCAATCTCAAGACACACTTCGACACCGTCCATGGGCACCCACAAGACCAAACGCAGTTCCCTTGTCCCAGACTAGGCTGTGAGAGTGTCTTCAATCGGAAACACAACCTCACTGTTCACATTCAGACGGTCCACGACAAGCAGTTCAGGTACTCATGTACCCCCGATGCTCTGCAGAATTCAAAACACCCAGATCTCCAAGCCTGGAACGGAGAGAATGCCTGTGGCGCCTCCTTCAAGGCCAAGTCGTCTCTCGATCAGCATGTTCGGAAAAATCATCTTGGTCTCGGCAACCGCAAGCAGCTCCGGAAGGCCGCAAAGTCAAAGAAGAAGCCGGAGCCTTCGATGCTTACCATGCTTACCGGTGTTGGCTATGAGCAAGGCCGCGAGGTGCCCTGTTTGGTGAAGACGTGCGAGTACCGCTTCTACATAGACCGTGATTTACGCCGTCATCTGCTCGCAGAGCATTATATTCTCGAGGACGAGATCGAAGACATGATACAGGAGCGCGATGCTGTCAGTGGGGGGCAGTTCTGGATTGGTGGGTTCGACGACTCAATGAGCATGTTCGACTCTGCTACGCCCAGCATCCCAGAGACGCCTGCTCCATACCTAATGGAGGGCAACATGCCGATGTTACCATATTCTGACTTGAAGAGCATGGATGGGCAAAATGCTTTATTCGATCAGCAATTCGACCAGCTCTCACTCATGAAGGATGACGCTGAGATGGACATGGCGATGGGGTTGGGTCACCTGCCACCAGCCACAGACGCCCAAGAGAGTTTACAATGGGACATGCTAGCTCCCGTTGAGCAGTACAACAGCGATCTCTCTCGTGGCTAAGACAGCGATGCCTGTCAGAGCTGCCGAATGCAATCGTCTGTGGAAGTTGGTGGAGGTTTTCCCATGCCCGATGTGATGGCCGTCAATGATGTTTTCACGAGTTTCACGAGTTTCACGAGTCAGCAAGATACCCAAATAGTAATTAAATCATGTCAAATACGGGAGCGTCCGATACTTCTGCCATGAACCCCAGATCGCAAACTTCCCCATTCGGCCTGTCAATCATGCCAAGCCGTCGATTCTAGCGAACGGCGTTCGGTCGCTACTCGATCGCCGTAGGGGCGGGGAAAAGCTCCGTAGGATCCAGGCGATCGGGCTGCTAGTCCTAGTCTGCCACACCTTTTCTTCACGCCCAAAGCTATGGTTCACTAGTCGATGAGATTGTATTGGCAGAGACCTTATTCTAGTGTGGGCGCCTGGGCCAGACCAGATCTATGGAAGTATCGTTACATTTATATTTTGGCTTTCCAGAGACGGTGGGTTCAGTGGCTGCAGACTTCATTGTAAATCATCTCATTACAATATAACGTATATCTAGTTATCCAATCAAACAAGATTGGTCTGTTACATATAAGCGGAGCATCTCTCGTGATAACAACATCTAAAAACCGTGTGAAGAAAATGCGTCTTCGCAAAGGTACAAAAAGGGTATAAAGTCGCGAAGATGGAAACCCGCCGATGCCGCAAAGGATGGAGAATGACTGCGCGTCTGAGCATTTGTGTTCAAGTAAACGCCTCGCTACGCTGTAAGATGCTGACGAAAATGGTGGTGCTGCCCAAATCGACGTCAGTGGAACGAACAGATATCGCACAGACGGGAGGTGCGATGTTTCAGAAATCAAGAGCAGCCAAGGCCGTCGCATCATGCCGCGGCCTTGATGTACTGAGCTAGCAAACTTGCTTCGGGTATGGAAATCGTGTGATCTGCTTTGCGAGGTGGCCAGTCTTCGTGTTCGAGTTCTACCGTCAGAGTCGTGTTGTGCTGCGCTTCCCAGTCTCGCCGCCATATTTCAAACCTGAGATCCCACCTTTGTAGAAGCCTCTTCCTTCTTAATTCGATAACGGTTTCAAGCCTTGCCAGCTCCTTCTGATATTCCGCTTCTTTTGCAAACTTCTTTCTCTCGTGCTCAATGCCAAATTGCTGCAGCTCTGCTTCTTGTGCTTCTAGTCTTCGTGCGGTGTCCATCTCTTGCCTTGCTCGTAAGACGTTGATTGCACTCGCGTGTCGTCTGGGAAGATCCTGTTGGATCAATCTTTGGTGGTCCAGCTTCTTCAAGTCTTCCTCCGACACAGCATGCACACGCTCTTGGTTGCTTCTCGTACGTAGGCAATACGCCTCAATATACTTTAGGGCTGTTGCTACGTTCTGTGTCTCTTGAGCTTGTGCTTTCAACAGGTCGTGTTCAGCGAGAAGTTGTCGTTCTTCTAATCGCTCCAGGTCCTCATTGTGCTACATCGCTTGAGTCAGCTGACGTATATCACATCAACACGAATTATACTTACCTGTCCGATCCGTTCGTTCTTATCAATCTCAAGCTGTTCTCCCAATTGTTGCATTGAACAATATTGGTACGCTGACAAGGCTTTTCTTTGGCTGCACTCGAACAGCGAGACACGTGCAAGCTCTTCCTTCTGTTGTGTCCTGTAACTTGCGAAAGCCTCTTTAGCTAACGCCAAGCCGATGCTGATCGCCTCGTGTCGGGTGCGCCTCATTGGAGATTGTGGCAAAGCGGAGGAAATGTCTGAAACTAGAGAGTCAATTATGGGATGGGAACTGTCAGCAGTTGAGGTCACAATTTCGCAATAGTCAGAGTCACGGGAAAGAGGCTCAGGCAGCTCGGTAGCAGTCTCCATAGCGAGCCTCGGGTCGTCTTTTGCTGGGATGCGCTCCAGAATGGATTGCGGCAATGCGCTTCCACAGCAATCGGGCGCTACGTGTGCGCCTCTCTTTAATGACTCTTGTATATGTGCGCGAACGTCGGCGTCAGACGATATGTGACCGCATACCAGCTTTGCGCCTCGAGGCCTGCTGTGATATCCGTGGTGCGGCGCGGACGTGGTGCAAGTACTACTAAAAAGACTTAGTAGGAAGCTGTCATAAGTCACTGTCCATAACGTACCCTGAATCCCTTCTGAACATGGAGAAAATGACGGAGCCCCGTTTCTTCCTTGGTTGCGCTTGCTGTGACGAGGCTGAGCTGGAGATGGCGGAAGGTGTGATGGACAGTGTCGATGATTGTCTTGACTGGAAATCAGATTCGGGACGGTCAACAAAGTCTCGAGACTTCTCAACAGGTGACGTAATCTGTGAGCGTGCTGGAGGTACCCTTCTTGTGGTTGAGCCGTCAGTGGAGAAAATGAGGTCTCTGGAAGTTCGGGAAGGCGCGGACGTGAAGCTTGTTGACTGCGTTTCTTGAGAGTGAATTGATCTGGAACTTCTCTGATCGCTATCCAGCGTCATAGTCGAGATTGCGCGAGAGATGGTTTCTGGCGGGGGTACGAAACGATAAGGATCGGGGATACCAGATTCGCGAGCAAGCAGCGCCACCTCGGCGTCGAGATGGTCCTCATTCTGATTCATAGGCAGACCCAAGGCTTCGGCCAGATATATAGCATCGTCGAATATGGGAGCCGTGCCGAGCGCAACGGTTTCGTCCCATATGCGGTCAGGCATTGCGCCGGAGCGCGCATGCACTTGGCTGTTGACTGATGTCAAGAGGTCGCTACCAAGACATGCGAGCGGCGCAAGGGTTGTCTCTTCTTGCGCAGGACAGGCGGCACCGTTGGGAGGGCGGCACACAAGCTTGGGCGACTAACAGAGGGGTGCAGCAAACAGAGGGCGGGTCAGGTGTCGAGGACGCACGACGGTGTGAGAACCTTGGAAGTGTGGTTGACATACGGATGGAAGGAGTGGGCGCTAGAGCATGGAAGACGGGCGCCCACACGCCCACTCTGCAGCAGGTGGATCATCTGCTGATGCTGCATTCAGCAT